CCCAGTTGGGGGTGGGGGGGGGGGTGGAACATGGGGCATCTGGGGAACCCAAGGGGCAACTGGGGGTCCTGGGAGCAACTGATGGGTCTAAGGATAAAAGTATGGGACCTTGGGGGCAACTGGGGGCAACTGGGTCAACTGACTGTAACTGGGGCCCCGAAAGTGACAGTGGGGGTTCTGGGGAAAATGGGGGAAAGTGGCAGGCTCTAAGGAGCAATTAGGGAATCTGCGGGAAGCAAGGCAGCCTGAAGTGGTCCTGGATGCAAGGGAGGGGTCCTGGAATAGGCCAGAGGACAATGGGAGTCCCAGGGGGAAATAGGGTGTCCTGTGAGTTTAGGAGTCCTGGCAGTCTATGGCCCACCTTGGACACATGGGTACCCTTGCATTTGTAGGGAATCCTGAGGGACTGAGGGTCCAGGGGAGGTTGGGAGGCCCATGCTGCTCTGCAGGGAGCCCCAGAAGCATGGGGATTTTGAGGGTAAGGTTTACCAGGTCAGGAGAACTCACACCAACAGCAGCACGAGCACCATGGAGCCAAGTGCCAGCCCCAGCCCCAGCAATACTGTGTGGTGCAGGGGGCTCCTGCCATGGGGCCAGTGCAGCACAGCTCTGAACTGAGCCTGAAGTCCCTCCTCTGCCTCCACGCTTCCACCTGATACTGTGGGGACCCGGACAACTTGGGTCATGGGGCACTGCTGCCCAGGGACCAGGTGTCCCCACAGCACCTGGTCCAGGCACAGACCTCACTGCCCCCAGGGACCCAGGCATCTGGGGGTCCCTGCTCCACCCCACATGCCCCACTGCCCCAAGAGGAGCCAGACATCTGGGAACACCTGCTCCACTCCACCTGTCCACCATGGACCCAGGCACCCTGCTCACACTCCCATGCACACCCTTCCCACAGAGACAGGTGTCTGGGGTCCCACTCCACCCCACACTGCTCGCTTTCCCCAGGGCAATCAGGTGTCTGTGCGCACCATTGAGGTAGAAGTACTTGCGGATCAAGGGTTCAGAAAGGACCCCCAGGCAACAGGCAATGGTTCCTGGAGTGAGGTCCTGAAGGGTCAGACTGAGAGGTCCCTCCACACTCCCCTGTAGCTCCTCAAACAGTGCCAGATCCTGTGTGCGCAGCTGGGATATGGGAGAACACATCAGCGCAGCCTAGTCCACCAGGTACACTAAACAGCATACGTGTGCATGCAAAGGCACCCTTGTCCTGCACATGCTCATCATGTCCCCTTCATGCTTCTTGTGCCTTTTGCTTGTTCATGTGCATGCACCTCATGTCCCACATGTGCTCCTCATGCCCAGTGTGTGTGCACGCAGGGTTGCACAAGTAGAGCATACGCAAGTCACTTCCTTCACACAAATGTGCACAGAAGTGCATATGAATCTGCAAACACGAGTGACCTGCCTCCTGCTTGTGTGCACCCTTTACATGGGTGAGCGCTTGCTTGCATCCTGTGTGTCCTTACACACATGCTACTTATAGCACACATATCTACTGTATAAGCAATACCTGTATCTATGATAGTCCTCACACCAAGTGCACAACTGTGTGTATGCAGGTCTTGCTACCCATGCCCAGTTCTCTCATGAATGTCTACGTACACCCTTGCATATGCATGTGCAACTCACGTCCTTGGCAAACATCCAGGTAATGGGCAGGTCAGGGGGGGTGGCAAAGGGCACATCGCAGTGCAGTGTGATGGCTTCATCTGCGCGGGCCCACATGTCCTGCACTGGGAGCATTGATAGGCATGTGAGTTCACATCTGCTCATGCACTTGCAGAAATGATTGTGCTCCTGTGCAACTGCATGTGCTCGCAGTGAGGATGGGTAGGCACGCACCTTGGCACGCTCTTGTGTGCTCATGGTGGGCCCAGCAGACATGCCCACATGTGTAGAAATGAGGGTTGCCTCCAGAGCCCTAGAGGCACCCAGATCCAGGGTGGGGCTTAGCCCAGCCTGGATCCCTGGATCTACCATGGCCCCATACCTGGGCAGTCCAGGGGAAACTGGCAGTCCACGAGGCGGCAGGTAGCACACTGGAAGATGCGGGCAGCTGGCTGGTATCCTGGGAGGGAGAGACTTGGTGGTCCCAGGGGAATGGGAGATCTACTAGGGAACGGGGGCAGTAAGACAGAGGGATGGGCACTCACCACATGGGGGGACGCAGGCTGGAGCTGGAGGGGAGAAAGCAGCATTAGATGGGGGATCACTGGGAATGCACGTCCCTGTGATGAGCTGTCAGGGCTCAGCACTTGTGCAGCCTAGATGGGGTCCCTGGGTGTTTCTCCAGGATGGGGGTGC